ATATACATCTTATATTTTTAAAAAATGCATTTCATTTGTATTCAGTACTAATACACAGTTTATCTCTGACCAATCAGAGAGGGGGGAGAGAGAGAGTAAATGTAATAAATATTGTTCAATTTCTCCAAGATTATTTATCCAACTTCATTATATTCGGGAATTGAGTGCATTATGGGTGCGGGATGTCGGCGCTGTTTTAATACTTCATGGACAACACAATTGACAAACACCGAAGCGAGTACAATGGACAGGGCTGCCACAAATAACACTATCCAGATCCAATTCATTTTACCTATGTTACGAAAATAGATAAATTTTACATGTTACAAAATGACAATAAATTTTAACATTTTACCATCTCTATCACGATAAATGATCTTGGTTTCAGGTGTTGCCGGTGGTAATGTTGGCGACGTACAGGACACCTCATCCGTCCAATCGCCACAATCGTTATAACCATTGCACCGGTATTTCGTGGAAATACACCTGCGATCACCGCACCGGAATTCCGTACAATCTATGCGTTAAGTCATGTGATATAAGCAAAATTAAATTAATTTATAAATGACCTATTTTCTATAAAATGCATGTGTGATTTTTATAGGTCAAGTTATACATACAAAAATTTATAAAAATTGTTACTAGTTCAGTTACATACCCTTGCGATAGACATTAATTGTCAACGGCCATAGTGAATAGCAAAACGAGCAAGCACGGACACTGTAATCGATGATTATGGTATTTGTGGTACTGCGCACAGTACCCTTTCTCACGTCCAATAACCTACCGTTCCTCATTGTGTTTGAGTCGTAAATGGTAATGTAGTCTTTACGCCAATAATCAGCAAACTTTAACTTCAACACACTGTCCTCATAGCCGGTGCCGGTGTTGATAATCCAAACGCACCTGGTCACATTTGTAAGCGTATCGGGTGTAGTTACTTGTATCCGTGAATCGTAGGTCATATTAAAATTGCCACCACACTCTAACGGGTATAATATAGCCCGAAATCCACCAAATGTAACTTGATCATCCCAAGTGGTTTTATAACTAGCGGTTAGGTTGGCTATCATGGGTAGGGAGAAAATGGTGTCTGGTGGTAGACTATTATATCCAAACGTATTTGAATTGATCAGGCTCTTGATGTTTAGCGAATGGTTATATCGTAGTGATATGTCACTGAATGTAGCCAGGGTATAATTTATGCCAAAATACGTACTGTAAACTTTCCATAGGTAGTCCATGCCATATGGATAATCCATTGGATGATTATATGTCTGAAACTCGAGGGAATGGTAATAATTCGTAAATATCAACTCAGTGTTGCTGACATCCCGTTCCCAGTAGGTCATCGACACGGTATACAATGACGTGATTGTTAAAGGGGACGACTGGTTAAGGCATTCGTGTTCAGTATATAACACATGGGTCTCGTTGGATGGTAGTATGACATCGGGTATAGAAGTCGTGTGGAAAGGTCCTGAGCATAATAAATCAATTGTAGTAATATTGTTATCAAGTTAGTTTTAACATTATTAATTAGAAATACCAGTAAACTCAAGTATTGCTTTTACATCCCGTCCCACCATTCGTAGGGTTAGCCGATCCGTTGAATTAGGTAAGGATATATGGGTGAAATGTAAGATAAAGGTGCCCGAAGTGTTGGGTCGACCAGGGATTAACCATGAGCATTTTGGTTCACAAGTGGTGTTATGATATCTGGTATAACTGGTCCCAGCCCTGGCATAACAACCATTAGCCTTAACCTTACGGACAGTTAGCTTATAGTCCACCCATTGATTGAATACAAGTTTTAATTGATTCGTGTTTGAGGCGATAGTACGGGGCGGGTATGCCTGAGATTGAAGTTCAATAATAGGCTGTTCACTATGCCTATCGGTGCTCTCATATATTGCCAACAGATTTTGGGAGCCATTTCCGGGTAGTCTATGTATGTCATCCAGGTCTACTACTAATTGATAACCAGATGTAGCCTCAAAAGTGTATACAATAGGTAAAAGGGTTTTAGTCTTAGTGTTGAGCTCCAGTTCCACGTGAAATGCCGTGTCATTGAAACGGTAGTTCCCGCCTGAAAATAATTAATAATATTTATAAAATATAACCTAGATACAAAAAATATTAAATCCCTTGGGATATAGATCGGACGCCAATGAGGTTGTCCTTGGGTTGACTCGTATTGACCACATGTTGTGATTCATACGATACCCGCAACCGGTTTGCCGTCGAATACAAGTACTTATGCCTCCAATACGTGTCCAACAGTTGGGACTCAATGACAGCCATAGGTTGGGAGTCCCGGGATATGTCGTCCAATACGCGCATAATATCCCCGGTGTTTATGAATTGTGAGAAATGTGTCAAATCGAGTAGAAATCTCTCGGAATTTAGTTTGTTTTCAAATATGTTGACACATTTATAGCTAGATAACTTTGGTAATGCGTGTTGATCAGGTAGTAAGATGTTTGTTAATTGGTCCGGGTTTGTTAACTATTAAAAATATTATGTAATTATAAAATTTAATAATCAATATCAATATTAAATATGGTAACAATATATAATATCAAGGTTAAAATTAAAATTAGATTCGTTTTCACCAGTTTATATTACATGTAAAAATATATACACTTGCAAATATTTACTAAATAAACCCGTACAGTTTAAAAATACAAATAATATAATTAGGTATGTCAACATAATGTTTACCTGTTTATATTGACTGCACCGGGAGTCCACGACTTCGTAGTCCAAACGTAAGGCATTCCCGGGATTTGTGTCATATTTCCGGAACCCGCGAATCATTACAACGATTTGCTGTCCCTTTGAGAGCAAAAACTCGGGTTTCGTGTGATTTGCGTCAAATAGGTTTAGCGATGAATACTTCTCCACAAACCGAAAGCTAACTGTCCCTCCATTCAGATCACTGTCCGCCACATTTATCAACAACTTCTTGGTGTCAGACTTGGCCTCAAACAGTAGATTAAAGTCTAATCCATTTCCCTTAAAATCCATTTCCTTGTGATAGTAAGGAAATACAAAACTACCGGCGCTGTCAATACGAGTAAACTGTGCGCTCAGATCTTTGGTGTTATAGCCGACATCCCACTCCCTGTCCACATCCCTGTCCGGCGATAGGGTGAGCACAACCCGAACCACTTTATGTCGGGTAGTGATGAGTATAACCCCCGGAGACAACTGTCCGAAGTGTTCATACAATAGGGTTCGGGTGTTATGTGTCGTGACTCGCAATAAGTCATTCCCTCCCAAACGCACGGACTGTATGTCCAGATGTATTAAATTGAGTGTCAATTGACTCGCGTTTATAATCCATTCGCATGTCTTTCCTTGCAATCCATGAACTGGAGGTTTAATTAGCAGTTTACCGGCCGGTGCTTTCAAAGTAGGTACGGGTTTGTCTGGATTGCAATCTATGATAAATTTGAAATAATTTTTAAAAAAAATATTAATTTATGTTCATTATTTATTATGATAATTATAATTAAATAATCATACTTTATGAACATTATAATTAATTAGCTGGCTATTATGATTTACTAGTTAATAAATATATTGCAAATGAAACACGAAATTGTAAAAAGTTATTGTTTTAGATTTCTCTCTCTCTCTCTCTCTCTCTTATTGTAAACTAAATTATAATTATATTAAAGTTATTGCATATTAATTATCCACATACCTGCGTGATAATCACCCAGCACATTATTTGCAGCCGCGATAATAATTGCGACTAAAATGAGAAACATTTTATGATTTAATTTATTAGAAAGTTCACTTTATCACTAGATTATAGCAAATAACTAATATTTTATATTATTATCCAGATTCTAGATTTTGGGCAACTGCCCAACAAGGTTTATTAAAAATTATTTACAACACAAAGACTTTTGTTGTAAATGTATTATATTAATAAAGTTCAAGTTAATTGTTTGCCAGTATAATGAATAAACAAGTAGATGTAATATTACAAAATATTATTTGTATCGTGGTAATCAATATTATTGAACCATATACGAGTATTATTATACAATACTGTACAATATATTATATATTATTGTACTTTATTATGGTTTATAATGTTTTATTATGCATTAGTTTGTTATAAAAGTTTATTAAATATGCTGTCAATAGTAACGCAAAATCTATACAAATGTTTTGTTGTAAACATTTTGCTAATTATATTATAATGTTGGCTAAATAATAATAGTCCGTATAAAGTATTAATCAGTATTAATTTTTATTATTTTAATTTATTCTTATTTTAATAATAATATTACAATAAAATGTAGGCATTGTTAATCTACTAAAAAATATATAATTTATATAATTAATAATGTATATTATATTTATTTACTAATTATATTATTTATAAAACATGTAAAATTATCAGCATAGTTTTAAAATACATGTATTAGTTTATAAACAATTGTGTTTAATTTATATATATATAACTAGGCCCACCATTGTTATTTCATAAATTACCCCAGCTACTTACTACCTAACAAATAGTATTGTTAATGTAAATAGTAATAAACTTATATAATTGATATTACTGTCAGCAATAATATTAATTTTGCTAATATTATTAAAATATTCTCAAATAATATTAGTAATTAAGCTAAACAAGCAATATTATCGTAAATGAACAAATAGTATTTAGTTAGAAAATTGTAATTGTTAATTTTATACTAAATGTTGTTATGATTTTAATAAAAGTTTTTAAATAATTAATTAATTTAATTATTACTGTATTAATAAAATGACAATTTATTTTATTATAATATTCGTATAAATTTGCAATTAATGTAATTTTGTTAAGTCATATGATAATGAAATGTTAAAAAATTACTTAATATAAAAATTATATTTAATACTTGTAATTTAAAAATAAATTGTAACATAAAATGTTTTAATTATTAAATATATTACAATAAATTAATATAAGTATTTAGTAAGCAATTATACTGTAACAAATGGCAGTTTATTACAATTCCGTAAGGTATTTGAAAATAATATAAAAATATTAGTTACTTTACATTATATAATAACAATTACTTTTATTATTTATTTTAGTCAAGAAATTGTACCTAGTGACATTCAACCTAATGCTTTCAATATTGTTTATAAATGGTGCGCTAATTTACCAGCTATTATACCAGCATTTGGTATCATATGTGCCATTATTGGTAATTATACCTAAAATGTTTTAAATTAACAAAATTGTTTATGTTTTACTTACTCATTGTATTATGAGTAACATACTAAATATTTATATTAAGTGTTAAGGTTGCTAAATTTTTAAATGTATTATACACTAGGTGGGACATGTCATTCATTAACAATTTTAATTGCAAAATACTTACTTGAAGTACCTGCCATCGAAATACTATTGATTAGGTATTATATTTAAATAATAACCACTTAAATAACTAGACAAATAATTATATTATAAATATAATCATATTATTATAAATCTTTTATTGTTATATTATATAACTTATATATTATAATTGTTTAACCTTTATTATAAAGTGTGATATTTAAACCAAAAATCTAAATATATTGTAAAAATAATTTTTACAAATATACACCAAATATTTAGGATTAATGAAATTTTTTACAGCTTTGCCACACAATTTATGTACAGGGTGAACAATAAGTGGACAATTTATATATTGGATACAAAAATTTTACTCATTCAGAATATTCTCGTATCGTTTGTTAAAAATAAATATTTTAAATTAACAAACAATAATTGGTTTATAAATACTCACCGTATAATAACTGAATTAACATAATAAAAATTATCAATTTCTAGGTATTCCTTTCAATTTATCGTATTTTGTGGCTATAACACATGGAAATACGGTCATGCTAAATGGTTCGAAAGGGAACACCTAACAACCCTAATTATGTATTGTGGGAGTGCAGGATTATCAATGGCAATCAACTATAATGCATATCGTTTGCTACCCATATCAGATCTAAATTCAATAGGCATGTGCAATTTGGTATTTGTTGCCATACTAGCTTATTTTATGCTCAAAGACCCAATTACCATGGTAAACATAAGCACAATAATTTTTACAATTACTGGCGTTATTATCACTTGTCGACCGGGATTTATATTTGGCACAAATGCTGTAAATGAACTAATTGAGCCTGATAATCGTCTATTGGGCATAGGCTTTACATTGGCTGGAGCATTTGTAGGTTCTTTTGCACTAATTTATATGCGCATGCTTAAAACAACACCGATTACAGTATCATGCACGTTTAGTGCCATGATAATAATTTTAATTTGTTGCATGTACTTGACCCATTTGGATAAATGGGCAATGCCAACAGGTATAATTACGTGGCTTATTTTATTAGGGCAAGCAATGTTAGGTGTGTCATGTAGCTGGTTTATAATGCTTGGCAGCAGGTATGAATCACCTGGTCCACTATCGCTAATTAATGGATATCAAATTGTATTGGGCTTTGTATGGGATGTGACCGTTTTTGGTGAACGTATTATATGGACGTCAATACTGGGCTCATGTCTGGTCATCACAGCTATAGTAGTCGTCGCGATGAATAACATACGACAGGAATCGCCCGAAAAATTTCGGGAATTTATTTCCGGGAAAATATGCTGTTTCTGTAAATCTAATGATAATCATATTGTTTAAAGTTACTGATTTTCAATTTATATTACTATTATTATTATTATTATTACTAATTATGACAAATCTTACTTGATTAAAATTGTGATGTAATGGTTGTAGACTGTACAGATATCAATGTGGCATTAAATTGTATATTTATATAAAGTAGTCAAGATAAATAATAATTGCATCACACATTTTTCTGTTTATTCTTTTATACCAATAAAACATTTAAATTTTTAAAAGTTTGTGAATAAAATTAAAACTCTCTCTCTCTCTCTCTCTCTCTCCTCTAAATCATAACTCTCTATTTGTTTCCATTATTCTCATTGTTTTATCACAAAATTGTTTTGACATTATATTAGAGTCGATGACAAATACTCGCCGTTTGG